TTGAGCCGCCCAGCTCGTTGCACGGCAGTGCGGGCAAGGAGGCGCACACGGCAGAGGCAGGTAAAGTGCCCGGGGGTCCTGGCTCTCCCCAGGAACCCACCATCTCTTCTCTTCTGCCCTCCCCTTGCTTCCCTCTCTCCCTTTCCAGCCTGAACCCCTCGAGGGTTCCCTCTCTGCATACAGGGCTTTTTTTCAGAGGTGCTGAGAGCCTGGCTGCAAGGGGGAGGACGGGCACTGACGGCGCAAGGGCTTATCAGCAAGACTTGCGATTATGAGGTTAGCTTTCTGGTTATCGAGCTTCAGATAAGGCAGCGGCTGCAGCGGAGTGATAAAATGTCTAGGATTTCTTTATGTGTAAGAGCGGCTGTTCAGGGAGCAAGAGAAGGCGATCTGGGAGCTCCTCATAGCTGGAGAGTCCTGCAAGGGTGCCATCTCGGAGATCGGAGCACAGCGTGTGTTGCCGTGGTGCGAGGAACAATCTGCGGGGAAATGCTGGATGGGATCGGCAGGAGATCCCCACAGGGTGGTTTGGAATTGTTGCTGTGAACTTCTGCAAACAGACTAGTTTCACTGACAGAAGGAACTGTTTAATCCTGCGGCAGACTTTTTCTGCGCCTACGAATTGTCCACTGGAGTTGGTCAGGATAAAAAAATCACTTTCCTTAGCATTGAATTTCCTTATATATTAATTTAGCATGCTTTAATTAAAATACACTCCCTGATCAAAGTGAATGAGTTGGAATAAACGAATCGAGATTGACATTGATAGCAATGATTTAAACTATGCAGAGTAATCAAACCTTACTGCAAAATTAATAGGGCAAAGGCAGAAACAAACACAAGAAAGTTCCTTGTCTAGGAAACCAGATACATCTGAATGAGAGACACGTACTGTGGCGCTCCCGAAAGAATAGCTGAAAAGGGTTTCAGTGTGTGCGTGAACAGGACAGAGGTGACAGCTTCTTAAAGTTTAATGTTTAAATTTTTCATCATCTGTCAGTTTGAGTCACTCCTGTTACAAGACTGAAGTAGTGCATTAGACTGAAGTAATGCTAGAGACCATTGAAAGGCGTTTTCATAAAAGAGTACCTTGCTGATACATGAGATTAAACAATCTGAAAAAGGCATTTGTATTTATCAAATGTTCAGATCTGTAACTCAAGCTGTGACAGAGAACTTTTTTTTTTTAAAAAAAAAAAGAGAATGGATCCAAATTCAGCAACAGAAAGAAATGCAGAAATGAAGTGTGGCTGTGGATAAACCCTTGAAATGAAGGAAAGGGAGAGAAAACCTTAAAAAGTCATCTCGGGGTCAGAGCACATTTGGCCAACAGGGCCCTCCACGTCATTCGTTAAAATCGGAGACTAATCCCAGTGCAAGAAGCTGCAATCTGCAGAGCAGGGCATCATCTAATACCTCAGATTAATTAGTTGTTTTACCTGTGGGTACGGTGACTCTCAGGGCTGGGTGGCGGGTCAGGCCGAGGGGGCAGAGGTAGAAAATCCTCTCTGCAGCAAACTTGGTGAACGGTGGATTAAAGCAGCTGATGGTTGTCAGCGCTGCGGAGGGGACGTGGCTGCAGAAACACCTGTGGGTGTGCGACCTGCTCAGCCTCCGCGTCCTTTCCATCCTGCTGCATTATGGCGATGTGTAGCCTTGTCCTTCCGGAACTAGACCGAAAGCAATGATTTCGTTTCGTATAGGACAACTGTGAGACTGTCAGTCTTTTCTGATGAGAATCAGTGACACCCTGGTGAAAAGCTCCAGGTATCCCATCATTGCCCTTCCAGCTAATTTATCTTTCAGTGATCTTTATGCCGTGCAGCACAGGGCAGCAGCGATAGCAACAGAAACACATATTTCTGTAGAAACAATGTCCTAGTGATGGTGAAACAGTTATTGTGCACTTCTCATGAGTACGAAGAGCAGAGCTTTGATTTGTCTAAATGAAGTGGCATAGTCTTGAACTCCGTCTCCCAAATGTGTCGCTTTCCCTCTGCTTCAGACGGGCATGAGGACATTTTCCCCCTGGGAAACGGAGCGGAGCACTCCTCCACTCCGGCCAGGCCCTCCCACCGGTGGAGTTCAGAGGGTCCCAGACCTGGTCTGCAGGAATCGTGCAGGCGACTTAATGAGCTAGAAAAAGCATAGGGTTTGTTTGGAGCTTTTTAGTATTTCCTTTTTCACTCCCTCTATTTCTTTTCTATTTTGTCTGAGTTTAAACGGATTTGTTTGTTTGCTTTAACAAAACTGCATTGAAGTCATGTTTAGTTGGAATGCGGCTTAGTAAATAAATGGTGCTACTAGGAAGAAAATTAAAAGAGCTATTTGGTAAAAGGGAAATAAGTCTGACTGCACATGCACACTTGGTCTTGTATTTGCATAAAATATATGTCTATCCTGGAAAAGATCTAAATTAAAAACATTGGAGCAAGCACTTTGAGATCATTCTGATCTCTATCTGTATGCCATAGCTTAGCCTGTCTCTGATTTATAGCTATGAAAGTTTTTGGTGAATATTGCCTTTTGACTCTGTTCTTTCTGTTTTCCTTTTCACTCCAAGTATCTTCTGATTCTAATAAACACTAGAGGAAATGTCCAGACTTTTGAAGATATGTTTCTTATTGATATCAATGAATCATGCTGAGACTACGCGCAGTCCGAACTCTGAAGGTAAGACCAGAGCTCCTGTATGAGAGGTGTATTTTGTGTGGATGGAAAAAGCTGTGTGTAGTGAAACAGCTGCAGGACTGTTTAGTAACTACGACCCTATTCTCTGCTCTCTTG